CTGGAGCTGCGAGATGGAACCGGAGCTGGAGCTGCGGGAAGGAACCGGAGCTGGAGCTGCGGGAAGGAACCGGAGCTGGAGCTGCGGGAAGGAACCGGAGCTGGAGCTGGCTGCCTCCTGCCAGCTGCCGCAGGCCCGGGACTCGCCCGCTCACGTTGCGGAGGGCACGACCACAGCCCCGGCACCGGCAAGACCTTTCTCCAGTCCTTTCCTCCTTCGTGCTTTCTTCCTCTTTTCTCATTTCCTTCCTTCTTCTTTCCTTCTTTCATTCTTTCCTTCTTCCCTTCTTGTTCTCTTTCCTTCTTTCCTTTGCTCTTTCTCATTTTCTCTCTTTTTCACCCTCTTTCTGCTTACCCTTTCCCAAGGATAATTTTAATTCAGTTCATCTTTACAAGAATAAGCCATGAAATCATATAGCTGTGGGCGAAACAGGGATTAATGAATTCAATATCTGTGCTAGAAGGGTCGCTTCTCCCTTAATATCGTTAATTCCTGGCTCCATCGTGTTGGACGGAGGGCGAGGGAGCGGGGAGAGAAGTAAGAATGTCCTAAGGACATTTGGGACAGTTGGGATGGAGTGCTGGGTGCCTGCCGGTGCCTCTGCGCTGGCAGACCCGGAGTGGGTGATGCTCGCTTCTCCAAACCCCTTGTTCCGCAGGCAAATGTATCTCATGTTCCGAGACTCGGGTTCCTAAAGCCCCACGGGCTCTGCTGCAGTAAAACTCCCGGCGGAAATCCATTGTGGCACTGCTGGAATGAATAATCTCAGGTGTTTTTACTGGTAATTAAGGAGGATCAGACGCCTCGTTTCGCAGTGGGGCCGGTAACTGCGGGGGAAGGTGGGGAAGGCAGACGGGCGATTCCCGTCCCGCTGGGGACACGGCGGGGCACTGCCGCCGCTCGCTGACGTGCACCCCAAACTCCACCGAGTTATGACTTTAAAGTCATGAAGAAATGAGTAACACCGCCTTTTCCTCCCGTCTCTTGGCAGGGAAGGACCGTCCCTTCCCGGCCGCCGGGGCCCGCTGGAAGGAGCCCCCGGGCCCGCAGCCGCTGCCCGTCCCAGGGGTGCAGATGGATCCCTGTCCTGCCTCGGAGGACACGTGGCAGTGCGGAGTGGCAGCTGTAGTATCGCTTACTGCAGGATCTGGTAGTAATCAGAAAGGTGAGGAGTTAGTGAAACCCATGTTGTATTTATTGCCAGTTTACAGGGAGACAGAGGGCGGCCGGTGCCGCAAAGTGAGCCATTTGTAGGGTTAAGTGTTTCAGCCTTCGCCCACGGGCAGCCTCCCCGGTTACGGGAAGATGGATTTTGGCCCTTGCCGGGACCACCTCCCACCCCCTGGGTGTTTGTTTGCTCCCTCTCCCGGCTCCCTGCGGGGCCCGTGTGATGAGCTCTACCTCGGATCTTCCCACCACGGGAATGCTTTGCCATTACCCTCCAGGTTCCTCTTCCTCCCTGGTGCCGGCACAAGCGACCCCGGGGATGTAACCCTCGGAGGAAACTCTTCCTTGGGAGTGCCAGAGGCAGGGTGCCCTCCTTTCCCCTCGGCCTCGCCAGCAGAACTCCAGAGTGGTCTCGGACTCGGTTCGGGGATCCGAGGTGTTCTGTCCCCTATTCCTGGCCTTCTGCAGAGCCTCCTGCCGTACTGAGCTGCCCCTTCTCCGCCAGGCGCACTGTGGCTGGAAATTAATGAAAACGTAACAACTCAAACAAGGAAAAAAAAATAAATAATAAAAAAAAATTGGTGCTGAAACGTGCGGACGGGACATAAAAGCGATGGAAAAAGGTTCAAAGCTTTCAGTGATGACTTTTCAACCTTTATTTATGTGCCTATTAATGCAATATCCATCATGGAGATACGCATCTTTATCCTTTCAACTGATATGCTGGGAATCAATTGGATATGCAGATTACATTTCATAAGTTTCCAAATGTTAATCTCCCCGGCCCTTTGCTGGTAATTTCTTTTTTTTTTTTGCCAAATAGTATTATGTTTCTGCCACAAAAAAAATTAAAAAATTAAAAAAAAAAAATACACCTCAGTAAAAATAATTAGTCTTTAGGCTGCTTGTCTCGGTTTATTGCTAAGGCTAGGGCCCAGGTGCCAGCCCAGGAGCCGGTCCCTCCTGCCCGCTGCACTCCAGCCCGGCCCTTCCCAGGGCATCCAGGGTTTGTCCTGGGCGGAGGAGTCTGCGGGCCCGGGCCGCCCGCTGTCCCCGCACGCCGTGCTCTGTGGGAAGGTGTCCGAGAGGGTACTTTTCCCTTGTAAGCTAAGACTGGTTCTCTCCCAGCCTTACAGCCCGGCGGCCGGGCTGATTCCCGCTGATCCCGCTGATCCCGGGATCCCGCAGCGCTTCCCGGGCGGCTGTCCCGGAGCGCGGCGGCGGGACTCCCTCCTTCCTCCCTCCTTCCCTCCTTCCTCCCTGCTTCCCTCCTTCCTCCCTCCTTCCTCCCTCCTTCCTCGCT